CTGCCCAATTCTTATTTGCACGGTTAATTTCTCCGTTTGACAAAGCTTTCTCAGAGTCAAATCCATTCCTTTCGTTAACAGAAATACCATTCAAAGCACAAACCAGGTTGATGAACAAACGCTTTTCTTCTTCGGTAATTGCCCATTGACTGTCGTCATTGTCATACGGTTTTTGCCAGCCCAGTTGACGAAGGAAATTTTCCTCGCGTTCCAGAGATGCGGACACCGGAGACTGGGGCAATGAATCTTCTTGATCACTTTGGTTAGACTCAGTTGATCCAGCATCACAAACTTGCTCTGTTGATAGTTCAACATCGCAGGATCTTGACATGTCAGTTGCTGATTGATCAAAACTGGAATTAACTCCTCTCTTTTGAGCACTTTCATCAGTTTCAATACCCTCACTCTCTTGATCTTCCTCCTCTTCGTTAATATGATCATCTTTGCGTTCATTCGAAAGTTCATCATCATCAGAAATCATTTTAAAGTTTCCCATTTTACCCATCCAAATATATTTCGAATTACCACCAATGCTCAACCTTTTGCTTATCAGGGTTTGACCGGTACCGCGTGGAAGTGTAGTCGTCGCCACCGAGGTCTTTTTCGCTCCATTTGATGCCGAAATAGACATTGCGCGTGGTCTTTGAGTAGTGGACTTTGCAGCCACTGATTCTTTCAAGTAAGGCCTAAAATGCTGTGACTGTCCGGCCGCACGACCACTTGAAATGCCGATACCAACACCAAATCCAAATCCGGAACTGATAGTAGGCGATCGAGCTGCACTGTCCATTGATAATGACCTACTGGTCTTGCGTTTTATAGTGTTCTTTATGGCTCGTTTGCCATCTAATTTTCCGCTTTCAACCTTGGGCACCAAAGACATTCGTCTTTCAAGTTCGGGTTCGTCATCTATGCTATCATTAATCGGGTCGTCCGACACTTGGGTGGAGGTAGGTGAGAGCAATTTCGATTTTGTATCGGAATTTGCTGCGATAAAGAAAAGAAAAAAAAAAGGTGTTGATCAATATAATTGGAGAATGAATTG